AAATAACTCTAATACTAAAGTAAAATTTCTTAGACAAGTTTTAACAAAGTTGTGCCTTTTGTGGTTTTCATTAAAAATACCTAAATAAATACACCTAACAGATTTACACCGTTTATAAATATATAAAATAAATAAGTCATTTGGCATTATTGATTACGCAAGTTCCTTCATCACATACTAATTTGCTCGTACTTATACAATACGTTCCAAATCAATATTACACTAATCACAGACTAAATAATCGTTCAATTTAATTTCAGATTGTAGAAACTGAATTACGCAAAGAAAACTGCCCTTGTAAATTAAATCGGAACAGTCACTTAAGGAAAAAAACATTTAACTTGGACGCAATAGCATCTATAAAGTGTTATCCAACCCACATTAGCCTCACGTTTTTCCGGAATTTGATCGCTTAAAAACCTAGACGAAACAGTAACTATTGCATGAATCACATTGAAATAAAATAAGGAAATGCTTACCTTTTTAATTGTAATCGGAGGCAAAATAACTTCATTGTTTATGGGCATTTCGTATATCCCATTCGCTGCTAATTTCATACAGTCATCCAGCGTTTTGATAAATGTATCACAAGTTGCGCCTAAAAGCCGTGTAGTTTCATCCATATTCTAAAAATTAAAAAAATGCGTTTAGGTACTTAAATGTAGTTCAAAAGTATCTGGCGATTACCTCAATTTGTGGACCATCAGGAGCTTGGGCTGAATTCTTAATTACATGGACCTGTTGCATCAACAAATCGCAGTAGAGCTTTAATTCGGATTTCTTTGATTTTAATGAATCAGGACTTTTGGCTATAAAAAACAACCATTTTTTTCCTTAAGAAAGACTGGGAATGTTTAGCAGTGAACTTTTGAAAACTAAAATCTAGGAGAACCGAAGTAACAAACGAACAAAATCGAACAATTGCAATCGCTGGAAAACATTCTTATCTGAAAGAAGGACGGAATCCTCTTTATGCAAAATGTTTCTTACTCAAATGTTCCAAAATTCCCTTTTTGTCCTTTTAGCAATACCACATCTTTTAAGTGACTAACTTTGATGCAAAAGTGCATTCTCCAAGAGTAAAATTAATTTGCATTTTTTCGACCAGCGACGGTTTTATGTTTTTAACCAAAACCAAAAAATCTCAGAGAAAAACGCAAGAGAGCTTTAAGCTTCCAAATTAAATGGAGAAGTCAAAAAAAATCATCAAAAAAGTTATTGCTGGTACTTGCGTTTTATAGTTTTTTGTATGTTTTGCCTTGTGGACAAAAAAACTCAAATCAAGCAACATTTTCTTAAAATACACTCACTGTTTTCCTTTCCTCGCCTACTATGGACACACGCTTTGGCTGTTCCAAGAGCTACCAGCCACTGTTGTCTTTCTTGAGAAGTTGCTGCTCTTAAATACATGTGCTGCTCACCTGGTATTACCAGATCCATGCGCGTATGATCTATTGAACTTACTGAAAAAAAAACTGAGCTGGAGACAAAAACGCAAACTTAGAGTTATTTAAAGGACACAATTCGTTAAAATTTCATGTTGCAGTGATAAGAACAATATAGCTCTATTTTCAGTTTAAATGTATCTGCCGCAATAAATTGAAAGCACACAATCTGGTACCAAATCGAAGTCGAATTGCTGGTCAAGGAAGAGAAAATGTTTATGGCACGACTGTTAACAATTAAATAGAAAAAATTATTTACCATTTATTTCGCATGCT